CGCTATCCAGATACCACATAGACTTCTTTGATTTGGAAGTTTCCTACAAAACAAGAACATAGTAAACTTAGGTCCCCATAACTTTTGGGTCCTTGGGGTTAGAGATAAACAAATTATTTAATAATAGGAACCCAAATGTATTTTCCTTTAGGAACACCAAAATGTTTTATTTTACATCTATTTGAAGTATGACCTTGTTTCATACAATAAAAACATGCTTTAGATGTAGCTTTTGAATATGATGCATTTCTAACAATAGGTGCCCTAGTTCCTTTTTCTACCCATACTCTTTTATTTTTAATCTTAGGCTTTTTCAAAGGAACATGATGGTTTACTCCATTTTGAGCAATAACAACTTTATTTTTATTTATGTTACTTATCTCCTTTTCAGCTTTATCTAGCAAATGGTTAAGTATATCAATGTCATATTCATACTCTTTACAAGATGCACATGCCATATTCTTATCATCATTCTCATCTATGCATACAATTTTCGTTTCTAAGGTTTCCTTTTCCTCTAAACATGTAATTTTCGTTTTTAATGACTCAACCTCCTTTTAGGATCTACTTAAACTCTTTTTCACAGATTTATATTCATTTTTCAAGTCCTTAAAGACAACAATTCATTATATGCATTTTGAAGTTCATCATAATTATTTTCATCATCACTTGAAGATGAGTCGGAATCACTTACCTCAAAGTCGGAAGATATGTTGTCATTTTCCATTAAGCAAATATTGGCTTCAACTTCTGAGTCACTTGATTCCGAACTTGAATCACTGTTGTCCCAAGCGATGTAGGCTTTCTTCTTGAAGAACTTTTTGCCTTTGTTTTCTTCATTTTTCTTGTTTGGACATTCGGTCTTCACATGTCCTGTTTCACCACAACCGTAGCATTTGATATTTACAGAAGTATTTTCTCTTACCTTTCCTTTACCTTTGAACAAATGTCTTCCTTTGGCTTTCATGAATTTTGTAAACTTCTTTATCATAAGACTCAATTCTTCTTCTTCATTCTCCGAGTCTTCTTCTTCCTTTTTATTCTTACCTTCGGAAATTTCAGTTTTGAAAGCTAATTTCTTCTTTTGATATTGTCCTTCCTCATCATTTAGCCTTCCTAGCTCAAGCTCATGCTCTCTCAACTTTCCAAAGAGTAGACATTGTGGCAAGGTTTTGTGACTCTGAGATGGCCGTCACTTTAGGTTGTCATTTCCTATCCAAAGATTTCAAGATTTTAACATTTAATTCATCAACGTCAAAAATTTTACCTAATCCGGTGAGATGGTTCACAATGTGTGTGAAACGCTTTTGAACGTCAAATGTTGTTTCGCCTTGTTGCATTCAGAACATCTCATATTCTTGGATAAGAGAATTTTTTTCGTGATCTTTTAACATCGTCGGTACCTTCGTGGGTCACTCTTAACATTTCCCACATTTATTGAGCACTTTTACAAACGAAGATCCTATAAAACTCATCAAGGGTTAAAGCAGATGAAATAATATTTCTAGCCCTAACGTCAAATTAGACTTTTCTATTTTCGTCCGCTGTCCATCTAGAAAATGGTTTAGGAATGTCTACTTCGTTTTCAGTAACTTTAGGAATATAGGGACCGTTTAAAATAGCGTCCCAAATACCTCTATCAACAGACTCTAAAAAGATTTGCATTCTAACTTTCTAGAAAGGATAATTTTGATCCGCAAAAAGTGGGGGTCTGTTGATAGACGCACCTTCGGCAAAAATTTGATTTTGTCCGGCCATTTTCAAAAAATTTGAATGACTATCAAAGCAAGCTCTGATACCACTTGTTAGAATCACGCAGCGGAATGTTTGCGTGAACGAAAAAAAACCAAGAGGGGGGGTGAATTGGTTTCTTAACAAAAATTAGATTTTAAAAATTTTCCCCAAATTTTACCGATTAAAATACTGTGTAAACATAAATAGGATAAGGATAGAGTCTTACACAGAAGATTTATACTGGTTCGGATCAAAAGACCCTACGTCCAGTTGCTAATCACTCAAACAGAGGATTAACACTGTCACTATAATCAAAGTTATTACAAACAGATAACAATGGAAAAGATAGAGTAATGAAAACACCTCTCTTTAGTCACACAAGAGATGAAAAACAGTTTTTCCTAGAGATGGCACAACACACAATCCACTAAGAACTCCACTTAGTGATTCTTATTGCTTCTAGCCCACACCAGGTTCCAAAATCCCCTTTTTCCTCTAACAAACAGTTCTCTGGCAATCACAACTCTCAACTTTTGTTTGAAAAATGTTGTTCAATTTGCAGAGAGCCTTAGAGAATCTTAAGTAGATGAATTAGGGTTTGGGAATTGGGGATTTTCGAAACTTGGTGTATTGGGAATAGGGTTTTTGAAAATAGTTTTAATTTGAAGTTCAAAATCCAAATCTGACTGAAATAATCGATTAAATGAAGTGTTAATCGATTATTACAGAGTCAAAATCAACAGAACCCCAAAACGCATTGGTTTAATCGATTATTTGCCCTGTTAATCGATTATCACAGTGAGCTGATACAGAAAATGGTTTTTCTCACTATAATAATCGATTATCTGGTGATTTAATCGATTAAACCTGAGCCTTTTTGATAAATATGAGTTTTTGAAGCTTCTAAAGAGTAGACTATATACCGGCTATCTTAGACTCTAATATTACAGACTCAAACTCATCAAAACAGAGTTATTACACAATAATACAAGTCTTCAACTCTCTAAGTTCTCTATTCTTGAATCATCATCAAAATCAACAAGCTTCATGTCCATGTAAGTTCAACATCAAGTCCTTGTATGTTTCAACAGAAGTAACATGATCAGTAGCACCAGAATATATGATCCAAGAATTTTTATTTTGAGTTTAAGATTTAATCTTACTAGTAATTATACTGAAATTACCTCCATCCTTACCCAAGAGGGATGTGTTCTGCGCGATTAAAGAATTCATATTACAAGAATGGTTATTCTGAGTTGAATGAGGATCACTATCACACTAGCTTTCTAAATCAACATCATAAGCGTTTGATGTTGTTCTTGGGATAGTCTAACATCATGCTTCTTAGTAGACTCTTGATTATTTGACTTTTTTTGTGAATTAATATTGTTGACCATGTTTCTTTCACTGTGTAACCGGTGCCTAGGAGGATAACCATGCTTCTTATAGCATGTATCAGTGGTATGACCATTTTTGCCACAATGGATGCAAGTTTTCTTGTTTCTTCCATTCTTGTTATCATGGGTATTGGGAAAGCCATGCTTTCTATAGCATACTGCATTAGTATGACCAGTGCGCCCGCAATATTTACATAAAGAAGTATTAATAACATTGATTTTAAAATCAATATTTGACACGATCAAGTTATTACCAAGAAGTTGTCTTTCCTATTGAGTGACATATGAAAAAAAAAATTTATAAGGGAGGTATTGGATCCATAAGAAGAACATGATACTTTATACTGTTCATTCAAGCCTATGAGAAACTGCATGGCCTGGTCTTCTTTTTTGCGATGGGATGTGATAGAAAGGATCATGCAAGAACATTTTGTTGAACATGTGCATATAGGGTTACGTCTGAAGTTGTCAATTTCATCCCATATAACTCTCAGTTTCATAAAAAATTCAATTACGGAGAGGTCTCCTTGCTTAAGTGAAGATGCACTCATTTGAAGTTTAGAAACGCGTAGCATATTACCCTGGAATTATCTTGCTTTAAGATCACTCCATATTTCTTCAGCCTTCTCTATCCATAATATGCTTTGTCGAATGGGAACATAAACAAAATGTACAATCCAAGAAACAACCATGTTATTACAGTGTTTTCATGCAAGATGGGTAGGATCATCTTTGGCAGGTTTAAAGGTAGTTCCATCAACAAATTCCACTATGTTTTTTGCACTAAGGGCAGTGAGCATAGATATGCTCCAAGAATGGTAATTATTGGTATTAAGAACGGGAGAAACCAAACTGATAACAGGGTTCTCGCTGGGATGAATGTATAAGAAGTTGTTCATAGGAGGAGAGTGATGAATTCCTTCTTTCATGATTATGCAAGAAACAAGAAAAATGATTATAGTTCAGAGTGCACAAAGGAGCTCTTCTTCGAAGAGTTCTAATACCATAACAAACGAAGAACCGATTAGGAAGAAGAATGAACGTTGGTGCAACATAGGTGCAATGGTTCGTTATGTGTAATAGTAAGTGAAGAAAAAAAGAGCAACCAAAAATACAAGGAGAGAGAAGATCTTTTAATTAATAAAGCAAAATGAGATACATTATTAAGAAGGAAGTGATACACAATATTTATAATTATGAGAAATGGGGTAGACATACGAGAGAAAGAATTCGCTTAAATGTAGTAATTATCTACGCTAAACGAAAAAAACAGAAGTATAAACCGTAAAAATAAAAAGCTAAAAGGAACTCTTAACCATAATATGTTATTCTTAATGAAGTTCTAATATTTTGACATCAGGAAGAGACAAAAACATTCATTCAACAATTCATTTTTAAATTTTTATATTATTATTTATCTATCTTATTTTATTCTCTCTCCATCAATCAATAAAAAAAATAATATTTTAAGATTATCAATAGGATGTTTGTAAAAATGGGTTGTCAATAAATCTTTTCCCTTCTTAATGTTCATTGTGTACATACACTGTTCATTATCAATAATAAAGAATTACAACTATTGGTGTTGCTCAATATTTTTTGGGAAATTTCTCTCTTTTGCAGCATGTGCAGTTTTGTTACACAACAGTCGTTATCATCACAAAATGCTCCTTCTATGTTTTAAAACTTCCACTATCACTATCACTGTGTCATGGATTAGAATATTAATCAACTGACATTGAGCACGTGATTGTGCAAAATTTGGATGGGTGATTTCTCACTCTAATCCCTTTTGACTTCTTTTTTGGTAAAGAAGGATGTCAAGCAAGGCCACATGAAGGGGGCATCTTTACACTGGAAGCACCCTGAATGCCTCCAATGTTCAAGTTCATGCATGACCCAGTGTCAGGGTATGCACATGTACATGTTCAGAAATTAAACTGGTGCATCTCCAGACCAGGGGTTTGTGATAGCATGTACCAAAGTAAGAGCGATCAACATTTACTTGTGCAGCAAGCTTGCAAGGCTGGAATTGAATATCTTGGAGATGCTACTGAAGCCAGAGGTGTACTAGCATCGAGTCTACATTCCTTCGTCCTGAGATATAAAAGACAAGAACTACCCCAAGACCTACAGTCCGTAAGTATCTAACAAGCTTTTGTTTTCTTTTTTCTTGTATGAGTTGTTTATGACTAGAGGCAATAAATAATTGAGAGAAAGAGAGAAATTGAAAATGAATTTGTATTGAAATGAGAAATGTGTAGAATAAACGGATAAAGTGGCATATATCATATATAGATATTGACAATAGTTAGTTACAATTCACTAACTGATTACTTATGCATGTCTATCTAGCTTGTTGAGGTTTAAATCAGGAGGGTATATAAACTTGGAGTCCTCTGAATTATTAGTAATTCTACTTATAAGACCCACCAATAGACTCATCATCAGCCTTTTGCCAACAAATTACAGTATAACAACATGAATATTTGACAATCTTAGATTCTTTTCTTTTTCTTTTTCTTTGTTTTTCTTGCTATTAAATAATCTCTTTGTCTTCGCTTTACTAGTGGAAAAATAGCATTCTATGACGAGTTTTTATCACGGTCGTAGTCCATCCGTCATAGTATATAGCGCGGTGGCAATTTTGTAATTAAATCATAAACTTTCTATGTCGGGTAAATTTTAACCGACATAGTAAGTGGAAAGTTCACTTTTTATGTCGGTTAAAATTTACCCGACATAGAAAGTGAACTTTCTATGTCGGTTATAATTTACCCGACATAGAAAGTTTCTATGTCGGTTAAGTTTTACTCGACATAGAAAGTGTATATTAAATAAAAAAAATTAAATATATAAGTATATAAATATTTATATATCAAAATATATAAATATATTTGTATTTATATATTTTGTATATAAATATAATTTATTTGTAAGTTATGTATCAAAAATTCGTAGTAGTTTAATGGTTGGAGTATCAGTCTCCAACTCTAAGGTACTAGGTTCAAATCTTGTTATTTTAATATATTATAAAGTATAATAAAAATATAATATGAATAAATAAATAAAAAATCGTACTAGTGTAGTGGTTGGTCTAATTCTAGACTCTAATGTATTGGGTTCGAATCTTACTAGTGATAATTTTTGTAAAATGTCCATTACTTTCTATGACGGTTCATTACAACCGACGTAAAAAGTCATACTTTCTATGATGGTTCATCACAACCGACGTAAAAAGTCATACTTTCTATGACCCCTGTATCTATGTCACCTCTTTAACCGACGTAAAAAGCTCATTTTAACCAACATAAAAAGCTTTTTTTTCACTAGTGCCCCGTTGTTGCTCCATCAGGTGTGCCCCTGCGGGTTACACTGTACCCACCATCATCCCATTTCCAACTAAATATAAATATATTAGTAATAACTTAAAGAGTAACATATATGAGGCCATAAACGAACGCTCCGTTTAGCATGATCCTCCGTACTGAGTTTGAATTGAAGCGAGAATTTAAGAGAATGAATGAATTTGAGGTGATTTAAAATAAACTCCATCACTTGTTTGAATTAAGAAAAAGGTAATAGATTTAAAGAGAATTGAGTGAATTTATTATAGTTGAGATGATTGATAAAATAAATATAAAAATTTGAATAATAATTTTTTTAGTGTAATGATCAAAATACTTTAATTATTAGAATATATAAATTAAATAAAAATGATAAATATGATATAATTAAATATACAAATATTAATTAATTTATATTATACATATATTTAAATATATTAATATTATTTTTTATATAAGTATAATTAAAAGGATAGTTATGAGTTTTTCATTGTGGAACCACAATTAAATTACTACAAATACACATATCCATGCAAATAAAAAGTATAAAAATAATTTTGGATATTTTTTATTATTATTTAAAAAAATAGATTAAAAAAAGAGAATGGGATGTGAAAAGAAATGTGAGAAAACTTTATAATTGATTTGAAATATTAAAATAATGTATTAAATTACTAAATATTATTAATTAAAATTAAATAAAAATAAAAATAAAAATACATGATTTTTAATTAATAATTTAATATTTATATAATTTTAAAATTTTTATAAAAAATAATTAATTTTAAAGTAATTAATTTTAAAATTTTAAAATTATATAAATATTAAATTATTAATTAAAAATCATGTATAAAATTTTATTTTTAGTACAAATTAAAAATTCTATAATAAAAAAATTAATAGAATAGTTTATTAAATTACTAAAATATTCTTACTTAAAATTTAATAAAATTAAAATAAATTATTTTATAAAAAATAATTAATTTTAAAAATTTTAAATTTTATAAATAAATAAATTATTAATTAAAAATCATGTATAAAAATGTATTTGAAATACTAATTAAGAAGATTAAAATATAATAAAAATATTTATAATAAAAAAAATTAATAACATTATTAAAAAATAATTTTGTATTTTAATATAATTTTAATTTTATTATAATAAAAAAATGTAAAATCACATGTAGCTAAAAATATATATTATAACATTAACTTATATATAATAATATTTTTTTCAATATAATCCACTATTCATCGATTATTTATAATAAAAATATAATTGATTGTGTTAGAATCGTGCAGTGGAATGTTTGCATTTAGGGACGAAAATCAAGAGGGGGGTGAATTAGTTTCTTAAACAAAAATTAGGGTTTTAAATTTTTTTTCCAAATTTCACCGATTAATTAAAATGCTTTGTAAAGTAAATAGATAAGGTAAAGAAAATTACACAGTTGATTTATACTGGTTCGGATCAAAAGACCCTACGTCTAGTTGATAATCACTCAAAAAGAGGATTAACGTTGTCACTATAATCACAGTTTACAACAGATTACAAATTGAAAAAATAAGGAATAGAAAACACCTCTCTTGACTCACACAAGAGATGAACATCTCCTTTGAATCCACAAAGGATGAACAACAACTTTTCCTAGAGACGACATAACACACAATTCACCAAGAAACCCACTCAGTGATTCTTATCGCTTCTAGCCCACACTAGGTTTTCAAAAGCCCCTTTTTCTTCCCTACAAAAAGTTCTCGCAGTCACAGCTCTTAACTTTTGTATGAAAAAGGTTTGTTAATTTGCAGAGAGCCTTAGAGAACCTTAAGTAGAGAGAATAGGGTCTGGGAAATGATGATTTTCGAAAACATAAGAATTGAGAATAGGGTTTTCATAAATTGGTCCAGATTTGAATTTCAAAACTCATAACAGAGTAGATAATCGATTATCTTGAGTGATAATCGATTATTCCAGAGCCATTTTCACAGAGGAGCAAAACAGGACCAGGATAATTGATTATCTAGGTGAATAATTGATTATTTGGCTGGGATAATCGATTATCCTGAGTGATAATCGATTATCGCAGAGAGCTTTTCAGAAAAAGAATTTTTAGTGCAGGATAATCGATTATCCTAAGTGATAATCGATTATCACAGTGTGTTTTTGATAAAAATGAACTTTTAGAGGTTTTAGAGGATGGACTATGTGTTGGCTATCTTGGACTCTAATTTTACAGACTCAAAAACATAAAATAGAGTTATGTATAAGTAAATACACATGATTACAAGTCTTCAAATCTCTAAGTCCTTTGTCTTAATCATCATCAAAATCTTCAAGCTTCATATCCTTGTATGTTTAACAATCTCCCCATTTTTGATAATGATCAAAATTTTCATTAAAGCCCTTTGTAATAACCTGTTTTATCTGTCATAGCTAACAAAACTATTAAACATACCAGACATTAAAAATTATTAAACATAGAAGGCTTTAAATAATTTCTCCCCCTATTTTGATTATAATAAAAAATGAAAGCTCTACCTCAATAAGTGCATAAGATGGAAAACAACTCCCCATCAATCAATGCAAAAATAAAATTTTATTCATTAAAGAAAATGGAGTACAAACAAAAATATTTGAAGAGATTAGAGCTCTTCACTCTCATCACTATTAAACTAGGCGTCAAATCTGTCTTCTAAATTACACACTCGATCGTCTACATCCGAAATGCGTCTAATAATTTTTGGATGTTGTTCGTGAGATATAGAAAAGAATTCTTGCATTCTCTGATTCATGTCGAACAACGTATCTTCCATGGAAGGGCGGGATGTAGGGTGAGCAGTAGATGACGTTCCAGCAGTATGAACATTATCAGTAGGCATATCAGCAGCAGGCATGTCCTCATCATCAGAATCTTGAGCCACATTAGCCATGTGAGGAGCATCATCTTTATGAACATAAATTCCGTTTATGTTCACCATTTACAGCTGAGTGAGCGTGCTGTCTAGCATTCTGTTTGAATTAAGTGTCCAGGCCCATTGTTCCCCTTAAACATTGACACCTTTGTATTCAAGAATCCTGGATATGAGGAGATCGTAAGGAATCTTGAAGGTTGGGTGACGCTTCGCCTTGAGCATTGTTAATGTGACTGAGCTTGGCCAATCAATGGGCTCATTATTCATGATGACATGGATAATTCGAAGGTCAACAGAAGAACATTGTTCATGGTTGGTTGCCCGAGGACATAGAATCCATACAAGAAGATGCAACAACAAACATTCTTCTTTCTTTAAAGGCCCGACCAAAAGTTGGCAGCCAATTTCCATGGCAGGGTTGCGAAGAAAAGAACGGTATGCCAGAATGCGATTGAAATCTTCTAAATTAGCAAGAACATTTACAGCATCCTCCCTTAAAGGAAAATTAGCAACATTTTCCCAAATATCATCATCAAGGATGATGGGTACACCCTTGACTCTAGAGGTAGCAATGTGATCCCTATATTTGAAACGAGAGTAGAAAACACGGACTAAATCCGAATAGTATGTACCTTACATTTCGATGAAAGGAAGAACACCTTGTTGCTCAAGTAGATTGGGAAAGTTGAATCCCCTATTTATGAATTGATCTCCAACAATAAATTTAGGAGCAATAATACCCCTTTCTTTCCAGAAATTCAAGAATTCTTGTCTTCCCTCTTCATTCGATATCCAATTTTCAATGGAATTAGGGCGGGGATGAGAAGCAGGAGCGGATCTTCTCCTTGTTAGAATCTTTCTACGGGAAGATGAAGCCATTTATAAAAAGAGAGGAAGATGAGGAGGTTTTGAAGAGAAGAAGGCTTTGAAGAGATAAGAGAGCTTGAATGTGTGAAGAATGCTTCGATTTAAGGTTTGGAAGTGTGTGGATGTGAATTTTAGCCCTCCTATATCTAGAAAATCATCCCAATGGTCATAAACAGCTAGTTTGAGGAGAATTAAAGCAAAAATAGCCGTTACAAACGACTAGTTTACCTCCAACGTCGCAGGATAATCGATTATCGCCCTCTGATAATCAATTATTTCTTCAAATGCACGGATAATCGATTATCTGGCTGGATAATCGATTATTCCATAGGGAAATTACTGATTTGGGTCAGTTTTGGTCCAGATAATCGATTATTACCCCAAATAATCGATTGTTACAAAAATATTTTTCATAAACCACTCATTTAAGCTTCAATAATCAATTATTACCCAAGATAATCGATTATTCCAGAGAGATTAACAATTTTATCATGTATTAGACACAGGATAATCGATTATTGCCCTAAATAATCGATTATTCCAGTACAAAATGCAAATATTGGTCAGTTAAGCAGAGTTTAGACTATTTCTAATATTCCTAAGTCTCTCCTAAGTTCATAGAATCTATATTTTGGAAGAGATTTGATAAATATATCTGCTAACTGATGTTTTGTGTCTATATACTCAATTTGACAATTTCCTTTAGATATATGATCTCTTAAAAAATGATGCCTAATCTCAATGTGTTTGGTTCTAGAATGCATAACAGGATTCTTTGTGAGATTGATAGCACTTGTATTATCACACATTAAAGGAATATTACTTAGAAAGATACTATAGTCTTCTAATTGTTGCTTCATCCATAAGATTTGAGCACAACAATTACCAGCTGCAATGTATTCAACTTCAGTTGTGGATAAAGCAACACATGCTTGTTTCTTAGAATGCTAGGATATTAAGGATGATCCTAAAAGATGACATGTTCCACTAGTACCTTTTCTATCTATTTTACATCCATCATAATCAGCATCAGAATAACCTATTAAACTAGGAGAAGCTTCAGATGGGTACCATAATCCAAATCCTGTAGTTCCTTTTAAATATTTTAAAATTCATTTTACTGCAATTAAATGAGATTCTTTTAGACATGCTTGAAATCTAGCACATACACAAACATAATGCATAATATCAGGTCTACTTGTAGTTAAGTATAATAGAGAACCTATCATACCTCCATACATTGATTGATT